AGAGAGAGAGAGAGAGAGAGAGAGAACGGTACAATCAAGCTACTACTTCACTCTTTATAAACAGATAATGACAATTTCATAGGAATGTGTGATCTACAGTCTATAGGCCGATATTCGTAGTCAGTTCTTATATTTATGTATTAAGTAGTCTTAAGATATCATACGCCAATCACAGAGCCATATTAGCATCTGAAGACATTACTTAAGATAATCTTAAAAAAAAAAAACCGAATAAACTATGAATATCGGCCTATATCACCTATATTACATCTATGGTATTATTCGTTTTACGCATAGACACAAACTGAGCATTCCAATAAAGTTGTCAATATCAGTTTAAAAAGAGAGAGGTAACTTGGTGAGTGTGGCTTTTTCTTTTTCTAAAATAGAAATAATTTATAAAATTAAATCACTTTTCCTATCGCTTATTCTATTAATTATTTTTATTGTTTTTATTGTAGATCGTAAGATCGTCTTAAGTAACATCTTAAGATGTTAATATGGCTCTGTGATTGGTTATTTATCTTAAGACTGTACTTAAAAGATGGTTTTAAATATAATAATCAATTTATGAATATCGGTCTTACAGCATATATGTATATATTCTAAGCTTTCATCGCGCTTCCCACTCAAAGCAAATTGAAGAGAAATACTGATGCATCATGGATGCACTTCAACATTGCGTTCTCTTTCTGACGGAGCACAGATGCAGAAATGCTACGTTAAGATAGCAAACGCGTAGTCTATGTATGTACCTGTTACGTCTGTGGTTTTACGCAATTTTCTTGTATCTCACACATGAAGACGTTTGGATATATAATATTATATATAAATGATGTTTCTTATTAAACAAAACAATAAACTGAATATCAACGTAAACCTGATATGGAGTGTTAAGAGAAAGGCAAAATTCATCCATAATATCATTTACAAATTTAATTGCTCAATAAATTCGTGTGTTTTGTTTGTTGACATATTATGTTAATAGTTACTAAAAATTTAATCAATATATTTTAATATTTACTGAAAAGAACATTAATGCTAAGAACAGACGGTTTAAAACTGTATTTATGTTTTTATTTATAGTCGATTGTCGTTATTTATTTGCAATTTTAATATTACATCTTTTTACTAAAAAAATATATTTAAAATATATTAAATATATTAAATATATTTTAAATGTATTTTAACAAAATAATAATGTAATAAAAATCTAGACACTATAAATATATTTTAACAATATATTTTAACAACTGTTGTAATAAAAATCTAATCACATTTTCCTATGTTGTAAGTTATACTATTTTTTTTGCATGAACGTTATTAATTTCATATCAGTTTCATATACGTCTCTGATCTAAAGTATAACAATCGCAGATATGTTATTAATAATAATTATATATAAATGTTTCAAAGTCTGTTTTTTAATAATATCTATAATGCTTAGAGTGAATACATTTAAAATTTATATCTTGCTTCAGTTTATAATATAAACTAGATTGACTGTTTTTATGGAATTAATTTTTTTCTTGAACTGCTATCTCTCTCTCTCTCTCTCTCTCTCTCTCTCTTTCTAAATGTCATACGATTATGCGCAGAACAAAAAAAAACCGAGTAAAATGCAGAATGTATAAATGCAGCATTTTCATTCTACGCATGTGCTGTTAGAATGAGAATTGAGGGGAGATTATAAAATGAGTGATTGCATGCTATAGAAGTTTGATTAGTGTCGTACATTCGTCACGATTGTTTTCATCTGAGAAAATGTTTTAGAAGATATTACACCATAAAAAAATCTCTTCCGTTTGGAAAATGTTTACCGCACTTTTTGCTTTTGCGCTTATAACAACGTATGTTACAGCAGAAATACGTGAGTAAATAAATATTTATCACATATTCATTTGCATTACATGTAGAATTTAGTATCATTTAGTTAGATTTTCACATGTCGCTGCGTAATGTTAAATTGCTACATAATTGTATGTAAATGAATGAAATATAGAATAAAGTAGATGCATATTAAGAAAATGAAAACTGAAAAAAATTATAACTCGCATATTTAATAAAAGCGATAATAAAAAATAAATAAATTTAACAAAAACATCCTATTTTTTATATTTAAACGTTTCATAAAGAATTTCTGTAATTTTATATTACATTCTAAAAACTTGTCTTGCATTTGTATTTATATTATTTTGGAAAAACGAAATATATTTAACACATGAGCTGAACAACAGAAATAAATAAAAAATTTTAGCATTAAGTAATCTGCGTAAGTTATTTTATTGATAAAGCTCATAAAATATTGGTTTTACGTCGTATATCTTAGTTTAATTAAAAGTGTTACATTAAATTATTCCAGATCTGATACTAATTGATACTACTATGTGTAACATAATTTTTCAAATTTTTAATAAGTTTTAATAATTTATTGTAATAAGAGTAATACGAGTATTTATTTTTCTTCAAAGAGTAAAAGAAATATGCTTGTCTTGACTTACCTTGTGATAATTAGTACAATTTTGTTTTCAATTATGCTAATTAGTTTATTGTAATTTATGATAATTGACAGCCTATGCAATATTATAGTTAAAATAGAAAACCAGTTGAGCAATAATTCAATATTAGCTGAGTTGTAGAAATTAATAGAGCAGCTGATATCATGTAAATCATATGTAATTACAGCTTTGAATAAGCAAACTATTTATTTCCTTCGTAAAAATATAATATATAATCACTTATAAATCTGATATTATTGTAATTTTAAAGACGTTATGTATTTATACTACATTAAACGTCACATTTTGATAATGCAAAAATTTTACACTGATAAAATTTATCATAAGACAGCGCATGTGACAACTAACTTCATACACTGAAAAAAAAAATATAGTCAATTTTAATAAATATTTAGTTCAATACTGCCAACTAAACATTTACTTACAACAAATAAATATTTGTTCAGTAAAAAGAATGATTGTTAAATCAAGTTAATGTTTCTTGTAACAAATAAATATATCTTTATATTTAATAAATATTTAGTTGGCAGTATTGAACTAAATATTTGTTAAAATTGACTGTATTTTTTTTCAGTGTAGCTGAGGCATTCCACATTAAACCGGGGACCTTTGAATTATCATTCTTTTTTAATTTGCTAACATTCTATAGATAAAAATATGAGATACGTATTTAGTAAAAATTTAAAAAAAAGTCAAATTTTTTTCGCGAAACACGTATCTCATATTTTTATCTGCAGAACGTAAGTAAATTATAATAAAAAAAAAATGATATTCCAAAAGTGCTCGCCTCAGCTTTGACGTGCAATGCCTCAGCTGTGGAATAGCTTATTATTACAATTGATAAGATAATCTACAAAGAATATTGTATATAAAAACGTTCCGTTAATTACAAATACTGTAATCAATGCAAGCTTATAATTAATTTTTATTTAAAATCAAAATTGTTTAGATTTATAAATAAACGACATTTTCATTAAAACTTTTAAATTTATGTAAAATTATAACAAAATAATAAAAATTTACGAATTTTCCAAAATTTTTAAATGATATTTTTTAAATGATATATCTGATGTTATTTATTTTTTCTCTTAGAAAATATTTATTTTTTATTGTCCTTATGTAATACATTTACATAAAGAATAAAAAATAGACAAAAATGATTAAATTTATTTTTCCAACAATGCAATAATGCATCTAGAATATATAATTAAATTTTTTAAAATAATTGTTTAGTTTTAAATCGACAGCTAGTTTTGATTAAATAGTCTGCGGAAGGTATACAGTATAAGAGTATGTATAATATAATTTTATTAATAATAATTCTTTTTTTCTAACATTATAAAAATTTATTTTATACTTTAAGAACGAATAGAATAGTATAAAGGTTATTTTTTATAGTGGTTTTTTTATTGGCATTAAAGCTGTTGTATAAACTATTCTAACCTAAATGTAAAAGTGAGATATCTCAATTGATAAATTGTTCAATATGTATTTTATCAAATAACACAATAAAATGTATTGAATATTTTACGATTTAATTCATATCTATATTTTTATTAAACGTACATCTTTATGTTGATTTGTGTACAACGGCTTTAAAGTGCACAAAGTGCGCACTAGTTCTGCCAATGAAAAACGCTATATGCTGCATTATAAAAGGTACTTATTTTGAAATATCTGTTTAAGATATTGGGTTGGCGAATAAGTTTCCTATGTTTTCAAGAGGTGGCAAGATTAATACTAAATGATTAGAGTAAATGTTTATTCATATTAGTAATAAATGTTTTGTGAAAGATTTAAAAGAAAAATTACTAAGATTGGTTGAATTTCAAATATTTGGCGTTGTGTTTTAAATATGAAGAATAAGAGTTCGTATTTTTGATACATTGTGCTGTTTTATTTCCACAAAGCAAGAAACGCTGCACAGTCCCATAAAAAAATTTTCTGATGTGTACGGAAATAATTCTGTAAGTGACTGGATTGTTAGTGAATAGTTCCGACGTTTTTGTTGTGATGATTTCAACTGTTTTGATTTACATACACCATGAAATTACCTGATAGTTGGCAAGATTAAAGAATGTTGTATAACATTATTTATAGATAACAGTACTTTGAAATATAAATATTTTATTTTGTGTCTTTTTGATTTTTGTTTATAGATTTGGTTTTTCTATACAATATCAGCTAAAAGTATCAGTCAAATAATTATCCAAAAATAGCTAATATCAGCCAAAATCATATTAAAAGTTTTGACATTAGTCTGTGAAGCTAACTGCAAAAAACGAAACAACAAAATTTGGTTTATAATGGTTTTAAGTATTTATTTAAGTATTTAAGTCAATAACTTTTAAACGAGTAAATGAATTTAATTAAACTTTTGCACAAATATTTATTATTGTTTTATTAGTATATGTGTATAAAATTTAATTTAATTCTTAATATTACTTCCTTATTAAATTATAATTTTACGTAAGAATTAAGAGAAAAAATTAAATAGCTTTTAAACTAATAAGAAAATTGTTTTTAAATTTTACGTAAATACTAAGATAGATACGTAAGATAGATTACGTAGATACGTAAAAGAAGGACAATCTGTAAAAGTTTTATTAAATTTCTAATATTTTAAAAATAGATACTAAATAAATTCGTTGCAAAGTAAAATCCTTATAACTTTCGATTGCTCCGATACATCGAGTCTGAATTTTATCATAGGTCTACGAATATATGTAAAAACAATCTATAAAATTTTTGTTAAATTCTTAATATTTAAAAAATAGGTACAAAACATCTTTAAAAAACCAAAGGAAATTATTAATCAACCCAATATTATTGTTCGAACTCATTTTACTTAGTGATGCATTTCGATATAAGAATCTCGGAATATCGTCTCAGAACTTCTCATATCATTAAAAGAAACACTTTCTAGATTATGTCATTTATTTTTCTCGTTTCGTCTCGACATTTTCATCGTTTTCATCTTTATGATAGTTATATATAATTATGTAATGTGTTGCCTGGTAATATAAATATTTCGAATAAATGAAACGAGATAGTCGATATTTTCTCTCTCTTGAATGTCTCGAGATAAAATTCGGGAATCTGACAAGCGAGAATATCGGCCCATCGAGACGAGAAAATTTTATCAATCATTTGTTTATATCGAGCTAAATCTCGGTATCGGTATTTTCTCGTCTCGTCTCACTCGAATGCATCACTAATTTTACTCTAGTTTAACTTAAGATGTACTACAATTATTATTATTAAGATTTTATTTTAATTTAATTTAAAATTAGAAATTAAAGAAAGTAAATATTTTACAGCTTCTTACATTCATCCATGTGGCCGCAAAGATCCTAATTATGATCAATGCGTCGTGAACAATACTTACAGTGCGTTAAATACGATGTGCACAAAGAATTACGATGTTAACGTTTTGAACAACCAATCAATACTTATGGATAAAATAGTTATTTATGATACAAATAATCTTAAATTATATCTCAAAGATATAAAAATACTTGGAGTTTGTGATAATTTGAATATAAGATATGTGCACGTAGATCCTGACAGACTTCACTACGATACTGAAATTATACTTGGGAAAATGAGCATAAATGCTTCGTATGACTTTGACATACGTGTACTGGTGTCTCTTGCTAATAAGGGACTAGTTACCATAAGACCAACAAGTATGCAAAATTTTTAATCTTATATATTAAATATTAATCTTTTATTACACAGGCCTGCAAAATTGGTGGTGTTGAAAGTTGATTGGGATTTAACAATGTCTTCTTACGTAATTTTTTGCGCTGAATCCGAATCCGGCTGCAAAATTGCTCTATTATGTCAAAATTTCGAGATATCCTAACTTAAAACTGCCAAAAAAGCCGTTTTCAACCATATTTTAAATTAAATTAAAAAAAATTAAGAAAATTTTTGTTGTCAAATCCATCAACGGTATCACACGACCCCTTAAAAATCCATTTTGAACCATCTCAAAACGATTTTTTATTTTGGAAATATACTTACTCAATGTTCAATAAATTGTAGGTACCTCATAGAAGAGCCTAATCTGTATACCATTGTATTAGAACAAACTGTATTTCTGGACAGATTAGCTGACTGTTTTACCTTTTGTCAACACAGAATATTTTTTAATCTGCGTGAAAATTGTTATACTTTCGCTGTCTCTAGTGGTGCAACGACACTCATATATATAAAGACAGCAACATAAAATACTAGTAAGACATAAACAGTGAAATTAATTTAAAAATATTCTGTGACAAAAGGTAAAAGAGTCAGCTAATCTGTCCAGAAATACAGTTTGTTCTAATACAACGGTATACAAATTAAGCTTCTATAAGGTTATATATGGTGGAGGTAAAATATGGTTTTTTGGTAAAACGGCTTTTTTGGTAGTTTTAAGTTAGGATATCTCGAAATCTTGACGTGATAGAGCAATTCTGCAGCCGGATTCGGATTCAGCGTAAAAGTTACGTAAGAAAACATTATTAAATTCCAATCAACAAAACCATGCAGGCCTGTGTTATTAATCGTATATTAAAATAACATAAAATTCTAATAAAATTCAGTAGAAGAAAATTTAACTTTATTTTATTAAAATTAGCAAAACGTGTGTTTTTTTGCAGATGACACATTATTGAAATTAAATCTGGATCTAAAAGTGGCAACTAAGAATGCGAAAAAAGAGATATACGTTTCGAAAGTAAAGGCAAATATTAATATCTCAGGAATAGAATATGTATTTGATGAAAGCGAAAAGGAATTAGTTCAACTGCATCAAGCTATTAAAAGTGTTGTAGACAGTAATACTGAAGATATTATTAATATTGTTAAAGCAGCACTAGAAGAGAAAATCTCTCAAATAATTATCTACACATTTAACACCATAAGCCGTTCTAATTACGAGAAACTATTTGGCGAGAATGCATAAATTGTCTGGTACTTTGGGATTCGTTATTGTAAGAATTCTTACAATTGTACCAAAAAATAGCTAAAATATTTGGAAAAATCTTGTTACAATACTTTGAGAATCGGTAGCATCAAATTTAGTTTAGCTAAATGATGATAACATTATTATATAGATTGTAACTCTGCAACAATATAATATAATATTTAAAAATATTTGTCATCTTTGGACGGTGAACAGTAGAGACTAATTTTATTTAATTTTCTTTTTTTACAGCATTAGTTTCTATTTGTACCTTAATTAATGCGACAAAAATATCGATGGGATTTAATAATTTCTAATTTGATAATTCTCATTAATTATTGTTTGTGGTGTATATGCGTTTTATTGTGTTCTGATGTGAGATTCACGCAACCACTTTCATTCAGCTTGATGGTGCAACATTGCTTTGAATTGTGAAGAATTATTTGTCTTATCTGTGGATCACAGTAGGACGCATAGGAATATGGATAGAATATGCGGATGTATTGCGATGTCTTTTGTTCTTAGTAATTCATTAAAATTTGCTCTCTGAAAATGATTCAAATTCAAAGTAACTAACTTGTGCGACACTATATATATATATATATACATATATTATAGTGTCTCTCTCTCTCTCTATATATATATATGCATATCCGTAAATGGATATGCATATAATGCATACAATGGATATGCAAAACTAAATCATTTGATACGCTTGGTATAAACGCTGGCGGATTATTTTGGTCTGATACTTCTGAGTCACGAGTATCAGATCAAGCTGGTACGCGTATCAAATGGTATCAAAGAATCTCAGCGTGCTGTAAACGCTTGGTTCGTTTTGGATCGTATATTAAAATTCGTCACTGCTTTTGAGTTCAGGTTAAAGTTAGAATTAGAGGTTTTACATCTTGAAAAACAGTTAAGTTATCATGTCACCTAATCTTCTGAGGCAGATCGGTGTAAATAAGGACGTATCAAATATTTAATCTGCATCAATTTGACACGTCTACTAACCGATTTAACGGTGTAAAAGGGGTCATATACGCGCAATTTCTGTACTGTGTGATTGGTCACGCCATTGTGAGGGGGTTTTGGGATTGACTAATGAAAATAATCACGGTATGTGGCCAGACTCTACCTTCTAGGGACACTACTCTTTATGGAAAACGAGTTCATCTCGCAGCGATACTGCGTACTACGCCGCTTACCTGGCAAACAGACAGACGCCCGTAGTATAGGCGTACGTGTACCATATATGTAATACTCCTGTATTGCTAACGCCAATTAAAAGCTGTCGAAAACACCAAGCATTTATTTAAGTTAGGGTTAGTATCATTCATAGAATAAAAAAAAATTCGTTACAAAAAATAAAAAAATTATTATGTTTTATTGATTACAAAACAGTGAATTTTGCCCATAATAATATAATGTTATTTAATATTCATATAATAATTAAATAGAATCATATATTTTTATGTATTGAAATAAAGTTATTCGTAAAGAAGGACTTGATTTTTTATTTTTCATTCATCACCGAATTTAAATCCTGATTTAAATAAAAAAGTAACCTTATTAATACAAAATCCAGCAAGAAATGACTGTTATTAATGAAGTTGAATCGAATTAACGACATTCATGTCGAGATTATTCATTAGTATATTTCATTATATCGATGTTGTCACTACATCAATTTGAATCAATTTTCATTGGATGCTACTAAAAGATCGGAACTTAACTGTAATGCAAATGAAAGAGATACATTTACCGTTATAGACGAAGATGACTTGGGACAAGTCTTGTCAAATTTTCGATTGTAACTTCTAGCGGTTAACATAATTATTTTAACTCTTTACTTTAACTCTTTATAGGTTTTGTGTATAATAAAATAAACAAAACTAATCTCTTAGATTATAAATATCTCTTAGATTATAAATATAACTTACAATTCCGTACATTCGAACAACGCCGTGCGTTGCAAGATAAGCCACTTGATTAACCGCGCATAAGGTGAGTATAATATTAATCATAAAAATAAAATAACTTCTTTCCCGCTATTAAATAGTTTCGTCAACGATTTTCGTATTGGTCCATATTCTTCTGTATTTAAATGATATTTAAATGAACTATCAGTATTTTTTGCAGAATTGCAGAAGTGTCTCTTCATATACAAGCACAGCTGATTTTTTAGCATAACGGAGCTCTGGCACATTTTCGATGAAGAAATTTGCGATGTATTAAGTTCCCATTATTCAAATAGGATTGGTCGAAGTAATTCATCTTCTGGCCGCCATGGTCGTCTGACTTTATTGTATTAGATACTTTTTTACATACTGAAAAAAAAGATTGGCTGCTGTGCATCAAATTAGATGGTAAAATATGCATAGCATTTTTAATTGATTGTAGTAGTCAATTTTTGGTTGCGTTAACTTATCGAAATCCTATACTGATATTGTAGATAGGCTAACGCAACCAAAAATTGACTGCTGCAACCAATTAAAAATGCTATACCATATTTTACTATCTAATTTGCTGCAGCAGCCAACTTTTTTTTGTCAGTGCATGAAAAGTTTATTAGAGCATTGTTATGATGGTACACCAAAGTGTATGAATAATTACGCTGGATATGGCTCACCATGCAATACGTGTATACTAAGTGTTCGAAAGGCGGAACTTTGCATATGAAAGAGAAGACGACTTTAAGTAGTTCTTGCATTAAAAGATGAGATTGGATTAGGCCTATTCGGGAAACCACTACAAAGAAAAACGAACCATGCTACAGAAAGGTGGTGGGGAAATGATAGCGCTTTGTCACTTTCTTGCCACGAAAAAAACGAATAAAATTATTTTTCAGCGCGCAATCCTGTGTCATAGGATCCCTTGCCGTCCATAAATGTACTCACACAGACGCACACACATATATCCATACATACAAAAATACATTTCTTATATTATTAGAAAAAAATTTGGTTTTAACAAAAAAGATAGTCATGGCTCAGAGCGAGGGTCCAGAGTTACGCTCCGATCGTAGCCATATTGTCGTTTTTTGTAATTAACTCCTCGCGCGTCTAATAACCTTGGTTATTGGAACCTTGGTTGGAACGCTCATGGGTGATCATTTCTCGCCACGTGCTTACATTTGGCAATCGGCCGAATACACGTTTCTTTTAAATTTAATATCTCATTAACTATTACGAAAATTGCAAAATGATACAGGATCACCTTAATGTAAATATTTTTGCTTTTATAATGTCACAAGTAAACATAAAGATGTTCTAAATTTTCAGTAAATCAATTTGTGATATTCATACAAATATTCATCTATCTGGGGACTTTTCAACCTAGTTTAGCCCGCGGTGTGTCAAAAAGTTTAATCGATAAAACAAAAGGGCATACACCACAACGCTAGATATCAGTAGTGAATATTTTATATTTTGATTTAATCAATTCACAAATTAAATATAGACGTTTCGGCCTTAATCAGGCCATCTTCAGTATACGAGGGTCGTTTGAAAAGTTTTGAGCCTTAACATGAAGATGGCATTACTCGTTAAAATCATTCTGGTACTACAATCGTACATGCTTTGAAAGATATCTGTGAAAATTGTAGCCATTGTGGACGCTCAGTTGTTGTTTGAAAGTCATTTGAGCCAGTCGATGTCAGTGATTTTGTAAAAATGGAAACAATCGAATATACATTTCCAAGGCTCTGTTGGAGTGGTTTAAGCGAAACGTCGGATTTTTTGCATCGATTAATAACTGTTGATGAAACTTGGATCCACTACTTCACTCCTGAGACGAAGGAACAGTCAAAACAGTGCATTACATCCGTAGAAGCCTATTTTGCAGAGCAAGACGTCAACTATTATTTGAATGGGTCAAAGGGATGGGAACATCGCTGGGAAAAGTGTATCGACTTAAAAGGAGACTATGTTGAAAAATAAAACTGAATTTGACCGAAAAAATATTTGTTTCTATGTTAGGCTCAAAACTTTTCAAACGACCCTCGCACATATATAGGAAATTAATGCATTAATTTCTTATATGTCGAAATGTCCAAATTGTTTCATTATATCATAATTCTTTTATCGACAAAAAATAACTCGATTTATTTTTAACCTATCAGCTTATATATTAATTTATAAGAAGTTTGCACATTATTGTTGAATTTACTTTTTCTCTTTCTATCTCAGTTTGCATATTAAACTAGTTTATAAGTGGCTCTAAAAATATTGTAAAATCAAGCTATTTTCTGTCAATAAAAAAATTGTGATGGAACAATTTGGATATTAGATTCGGTTTCAGAGCATAAAAATACATAAGAATACTATGATCTAATCTCCGGATCAAACATTTAATCTTTTTGTGTCTGTGTAATTTAAAAAAAGGAAAGAAACATTAAATCTGTCAAAATGATTGATTTATTTTATTTATTTATTTTAATTGCATAATTTACTCAATATTGTGAAGATATAAAATTTTTTTTTTTAAACCTTGACTAATATCTCAAGTCAATTTAAAAAACAAGTGCTTCAATAAAAAAAGAAATAATTGTAGATTATGTTTATAATTCCAGAGATTAAAATTTGTTTTATTTTATTCAAAATATATCAACTTTACGGTATGTGTAACAACATTAATTAAAAAAATTATTACCTAAATTAGAGTACGAGCGTGGCATGGTGGATAGAGTCTATCATGCTAGGGGACTCAGGTTCGATCCCTGGCAGAGCCAAGAAATTTTTTTTGTTTCAGTTTTATTGTGTTTCAAGTCACTTGACTGTCCCGAGTCACCTTCATCTACGGCATATATATAGCGCGCCGAGGCACTGTCGTGTCTCCAGATAAGCTTCATCAGCTCATATGGATAAGTCTTGCTGTGCATTCGTCATAAAGTTATTCTTTAATAAGTACATTTAAAAAATTGACATTTCTTAATTTTATTGATATTTGGATAATGTTTTTGGATATTTGGAAAGTTTTTGTTTGTGTAGTTACAACAACATATGTTACAGCGAAAATACGTAAGTAAAACTTTTTGTTTCCGACATTATAAATTTACGATCTCTTCTTTTTATTATACATTATATGTTAAATGAAGCTTGCCATATATATTATGAATGTTTCTTATATTTACATTTACTTTTGCCACTTATGTATACTGTTAGAAATTTCGTAATAAGTAACATGTAATGGAAGCTTGTGATCATGAAGCAGTTGAAAAATAATGAATGATTTAACTGAAAATTAAGTTACATTATTCTTAAATGTAATAGACATGTGCATTAAATTATATGTAAATTCACATAAATTTTTTTGAGAAGTACATTACATTTCGTAAAATTTTATGTAAAGTAATTAAATGTTAATATGGCTCAAATAGAATAAATCAATAAATAAAACAAGGGCAAACGAGCCAACTACGATATAAGATCTTTAATAAACGTATATATATACAATAATCAAACGTTTCGACACCGATCGGGTCATTTTCAATGTACAAAACCAAAACATCTTACATACATAATCAGAAAATCAGTCAAAATATAATGTCCAGTGAGAATTTTGTTATATTCTTAAAAACCAGTCCATATTTAAAAATATTGACGAGATCAAAATCGCAATTCTACCATCTGAATAAATAATAAATTAACGTTGCGTTATGAATTAAATAAACGATGTACATGTTTTATAAATAAGATTAGAGAGAATGTAAATTAAATAACATATATAGTGTTTTACGTAAAGTTATTTAAAGGAGAGTACCAATTTTCGAGGGTTTCGCGATCATTGGGATCGTTTTATTTCTATGTTTTCTTATGTATTTTTCTTCTATGAAAAATACCCGAGTGGTCGCGAAATCCTCGAAAATTGATATCCTCCTTTCATATATATATATACAAATATATTTTTAATTACAATTTTTTTAAAATCTTCGGAAATGTTAAATTTTTCCATAAATATATTTTAAGTAAACTCAAATGAAAGTATTTTAAAATAAATACTTGCTAAAACTTTAAAACTTATAAAATTCAAAAGACGGTTTTAAAATTCTATATCTATTATCAATGTATAAATCTATCGTATAAGCAGTTTAATTTAAAGTTGCAAGTTATAGAAAATGATTTATATACTTTATAGCTTCCTACATTAATGTCTGTGGCCGCAAGGATTCCAACTATGATCAATGCCTTGCAGAAAACATAAAAAATATGAAAGATAAGATTTGCACAGGATTTCCAGAATTCAACATTCCACCAATTGAGCCACTGATGTTTGACAAAATAGTTATTTTTGAAACAAAAGATCTTAAACTTTATCTCAGAGATGTCAATGTATATGGATTTTGTGATTATGTTGTAAATTCCATTCAGACAAACCCCGAAAGACTTCACTTCGATATTAACATCTTATTTCAACAACTTTACATAAACTCTACGTATGATTTTGATATGCGTTTGCTGGTGCGTGTTACGAATAAGGGACCGGTTGAGGCTGTAATAGGTAAAATAATCCACTTTGCTTTAGAATAAAAAGAAAATTTGGAAAGAAGGCAATTTTTTTTAGGATAAAAAATATAAATAAGTATTATTATACTTTATTGAAATTATTATAATGCAATCTTTTTTGCAGAAAGTGTAAGAATGAAGTCAGACATCGATTTAAAAACGATAACCAAAAATAACAAGAAACATATATTTGCTTCAAAAGTAAACAACTTTATCGATACGAAATCATTTACATATAAGTTCCTTGACGACAGCAAAGAATTAGCTCAATTGCATAAAATTTTGAGCGATGTCATAGACAATAATAAAAAAGAAATTATTCGTGCTGTTAAATCAAGAGTAGAAGAGAAAGCCTCCAGAATAATAATATTAATTTTCAACGGCATAGCTCGCTCCAATTACGAGCAAATATTTCCAGAAAAAACATGAATTTTCTGGAATTTTGGGAATTATTACGTTATAATATAAAACTTGTTTGTATACTCTACTTTGTTAGCTAATAACTCTTAATTAAACAATGGTTGGCGATTAAAATCCTTTCAAGATTATTCCAAATCATGGTTTTCACAATATTTAAATAAATCAAAATCAATATCATTTAGTCTGTATTGTTCCACCTTTCGATAAACTTGAACTCACGGTCTTACTCTCTTACTCTTTTATTTTTTGTTTATCCAGTAGATAAAAAAAATCACATAATTTATCTGAAGATGGAACAACTAGCCCTTCGACACTTTAGACTCCGTATTTTGACACATTTACCGTCATTGATAAATTGAATTTATCTTTTAATATAGTAAAATTGTACAATGTTAAATATTATTATTAAATTTCATATAAAAATATAAAGTTGGAAAGAGAGAGAATATGTTTATTGGCAATTTTATTACCTTAATCATTTGTAGGTAATTTTGAAATGTAATTTTTACTTAAGATATGGTAACTTTAAGTTCGAAACATATAGAATAAGAAATACCGTTTGTTGGAAAAAAGATAGAGAAGAAAATATTATTTGTTAGTATCTAAACGATTAAAATACTACTTTTATATACGTGTATATAAGTAATTCTTATATAGAGATCGAGGTCTGTTGTCGTACAGGGTTGATTGTCATAATACTTATAACTCAATCAGCACATAACAGAAAATTTTCTTTTGTGATTGTAGATTGCTGATACAATATTAATTTGTTGTGTAAAATATTTTGTACCAAAAACTTTGTATGTGTATATTTTTTACAACGACTTTTAAGAAAATAAAACTGATGAGTAAATTTTTATCACTTATGTGTTACTGTCTAACAAGTCTTTAGCGTTATTAATTGAGATATCCTTATTGTATTCATAAAAAATGTCATGTCTTAGAAAATTTTTGCTATAATTAATTAATCATTATCCTGACAGAGAGAGAGAGAGAGAGAGAGAGAGAGAGAGAGAGAGAGAGAGAGAGAGAGAGAGAGAAAAGAGAGAGAGAGAGAGAGAGAGAGAGATTATAAATGCAATATCTTTTGTTAAAAATGCTATGTGGGGTGGATAGATCAAAATGAGAAATTTGAAGTATAATAAATATGTTGGTAAGTATATTCTCTAAAATGTGTCAATCTAAAGATATTAAAATTGATTATATAATTCACATTGAATTATTTAAAGCATCAAAGATCTAGCTTCGACCGGTACAGGGGGACATTTTTAATTTGTAGTATTGATAGTGTTCTCATATGGTACGGTCTAAAATAAGATTTAAAATAAAATAATTCTTATTGTTTAAAATTGATTGTCATCTAACGAGATCAAGCGGTAAATGAGATGAGTAAGTTATATAGGCTGATTTTAATTTACTATGTGTTAGTGCATATACGTATATGCAGTGTGTATGTGTGTGTGAAAGGGACAAGGGAGGGGAAATGTGTCACAGACAGAAAAAACAATTGCAGGGCTCAAATAAATAAAATGATACATAATCATTGTCGCATTCGCATCTTATAATTTGTTTGTATTTACATTGAAAGTGAATCCAATTACAGTTGAAACGTTTATAATTGCACAGTTGTTATTATAGTATGTTAAAAACAATGAAATATTAAACAAGATCAATGATCGAGCCAAAGACGGTTGACAAATTACAATACTTATTTAATTGAACATACAATTTAAAATCTATATAAAAATATAGATGTATAAATAAATATATGTATAAATAAGTAAATGTATAAATAGTATGTATAAATAAAATATTCTAATATAGACTCAATTTATTTCAATATCATTCTATATAAAGATTGACTATACATATTGAATATGCACATAATATATACGCGTGGAAAATCCAGAAGGAAATAAAGTTTTATCACGATTATACCACAATTAAATCTTACATAAGTACTATTGTGTTACAGCATAATCTCAAAATAAAGTATAAAGGAAAAATAAATTTTTCACAATATGAATGTTAAATTTTTGATCGAATAATATTTTGATGGTCTCATTATTATTGTAATTTATTATTATTTAAAAAGAATTAATAAAAGAAAAAAATCAAAACATATATATAAACTTACAATAAAAACTAAGCGAATACTATTATGCCTGTTCAAAGAAAGAATGATTATGTCTTACGTCAATTTTTATAATTATATTCTTGTATATATATATATATATATGTAATTCTATATTTTTGAGAACAATATTCTTTTAAAACTCCCTTGATCAGAGTGATCAATAATCTAATTAACAAAAGAGAATTATTTATAATTTTATTTACCAAAATATATATGAATTTTAACACAAGAATATGTATATTATATAATTCTTCAACTACTTTTTTATTATATAGCACATAACATTAGAACATTATAACTAAAAAATTCTATTCTGAATTCTAGCATAAATTATACAGGTATTGTTTTTAATAGTTTTATGGAATAATATATTCTAGAAATTGTTTTAATATAATATTAATTAACGTATGTTTTAAAAATGAATTTTTATTTAAATAAAATAATTATTCATATTATAATTAATTTTTATTGAAATATAAATTTCTGTTTTATTTCACAAAAAGAAAACATCCATTGTTTGTACCATTTTCTTTTTTAAGTGTAGCACGCGAATATAATTTAGATGACTATGGCATTTGCATAAATTTGAATAAATAATGATTATAGAACAAGGAAATGACTAATTATGACATCAAATCGTTCTCAAACGAGAATATTTTTTGCTCTTTGTACTGGTATTTTTTTGATTCCTTTCCGTAGTAGAATTCTTTACAACTCATTCTTTTTTGTAATTAATTTTCTTCTTGAGTCATTCTCCTACACAATTTCCATGTAATTATATAAACATGTGTACATGACAAAACGAATGAAAGACAAAGTACACGATATCTTAATGCATATCGTTAAAAAAAGAGCAAGAATTGATAAGCATTTAAAATAAAGTGGTAGGTATATAAGAGCTTGTGCGCACCTGTGTAGATCAGTCTTGATTTATGTGCGTTGTGTAGCAATTGTAGTTCGCTAATCATTTTGAAAGATCAGGAAAATTTGTGTTGAAAAATGTTTGTTACAATTTTTACTTTTGCACTTATGACGACATATGCTGCCGCAGAAATACGTAAGTTTGTAAAAATGTTTGTCATTTGAGGAGCCAACTTTCAAAATACGTTTTGTCTAAAATTTATAATTTCAAGAAATAAGAAAAAAGCAACAAGAAAATTGCATATCTTACAGAAAATTTACCAATCAGTAAGACGTGAAATGTTCAACAAAATTGCTAAACAGTTGCTAAAAATGTTAAACAAATACATTTTGTTTGTCTCTAGTTAAAGGATATAATGCACTTCAAATGTCAAGATTTTTTTCAATACATAAAGTGGTGGTTTTCAATACATAAATATTTTCAGAACATCATAGAGTAGCTTAAAATATGAGTCTCTCAACACTAAACACTATGCCATCTTTAATTAAAAAAATGAAATTTTGGACAAAATACATTTTGAAAGTATGCTCTTCATTTATTAATTTTTTATGTAACGTGCTATAGATATTTTTTACCATACTACAAAAAAAGATTTGTTACACTATTTGAAACACAAAATTTGGATTAAAAATCACAAACCCATCAAATTCTTAATAATAATATATATCGTTCTTAATTCATTATTAGATAGAGAAATTAGAAAGAAGTTAATGAAATTAGAAACAAATTAATGAAATACTTCTCAAATGAGAAAGATGGTTCCTTTTGTCTACAGCATCATTTGCCTACATTACATTTTGTCGACAGTTCGTTTGCGCACAAAAATTATTGCCTATAACTAGATTGCCTATTTATGCACATTTATGCACAAATAAAAATTTCAGAAACGAAGTCATATTTGCCTATATGTATTACCTATTGCTTACATGAATTATTGCTCACAGCTCGATTGCCTACAAGTACTTTTGCGCACAAATATAAAATTAAGGTTAAGTTAAATAAGAAAATAATTTGTATTTTTAAAGTAGAGAATTTGTTTTAAAATAGAGAATTCGTGTTTTTAATGACAGAAAATTTTTGTTTTAAAACAGAATTTATGTTTTTAAAAGAGAGAATAGTACATGTAGGTAATCGAGCTGTAGGCAATAATACGTATAGGAAATTGAGCTGTAGGCAATAATTTGTGTGCGCAAACGAATTGTCAGTAAAAGTGATGTAGGCAATAATACATGTAAGCAAACGGGATCTTCCCTTTCAATTCAGATCTTTAATTTTGATGCAAACAAGATATTTTAAGAAGTAAGTAGATAATTTAATAACTTAAAGAAAAGTAAAAAAATTACAGGTGTCCAATACATGAGCTTTTTGAGAAATGTCTATTGTAAAACTATTTTTAAAAAATAACAGGTGTGTGTCATATATATTTTTATATTCCTATTCATTCTTTCTATTGTAATCCAAGTAATAGAGTATAGTTATAATTCTTTTTAAATAATGATATCACAGAATTAAGCTAATTAAAATAAAATTTATGCACGTTATATTATCTAACTCTTTGTCAACTTAAGTGATATGTTCTCGAATTCTTATTTAAATAATTCTATTTCAATCCAAGTGTACCTTTTAGTTTTAACGCAAAATTCAAAAATATTTAACATAAAATCTTGGCGCTGATATCTTATTATAATGTAATACGATGGATGCTGTATATTTTTATACTTGCTTCAATAGTATAAAAAAGAAATGCAACATTATGAGATTTTTCATTCGTCCTAATAAAATGATAATAAAGGCTGTGTTCCAATATTCACTGCCAGTGCTGAAAATCTATCATACATTATAACACATTTGCTAATTTAATGACAGAAAATTTAAGCTTTTAACCCTTAAGTAGGCGCACGAGCAAAATCACACAAGTGGGTGCATGGGATCAGCACAGTAACCCTAACTTCTTTTTTTAAATTTAAGTAAACCAAGAGAGATATTTAAAAATAAAAATAAATCAGTTTGTTAAAAATTTATCAACATTTATCTATCAATAGCAATTACTATTACATTCAAAATTACGTCCTAAAATAAGAAGCTATTGAAAACGGGAAGGTCAAAAACAAATGTGTTCTGTATTTTTTTGGCGATTGAAATGGTTCTGACCCTATTTAAGAGTTTAAAAAAATGTAACAAAAGAATTTTAATGTCTTTTAAACTTTTGTAAGATATCATGGTATCTGGAAATGATTCCTGTAATTTATGCGGTATCTATACCCAGAGATATAAAAGAATCTAATTAAAAAAATGATCAAAATCAATTCTAACTGAATTATGGAAATTA